GGGGGGCGTCGGGCAGGAAGCCGGGCTCCCTCTCCTTTGTCCTGTCCGCTCGTCCTTTGTCAACGTGCCTGTGGGGGGTGCTTCGGTGTTTTTCCTTTAACTTTCCCGCTGCTCCTCAGGGAAACCCTTTCCACCCGCCTCATGGCTCCGGTTTCCAGCTCTAAACTTGCCCTAGCTCCGGCCTGCGCCCTCACGGCCGTGGTGCGCTCCTCGCCCTAGCCCTAAGCCCTGTGGAGGAAGATGTCTTCCAAGAGGTGACGGCACCTTTGTGATAGGAAACACAGGCATTTCCAGGCATACGGAGGGCCTGGGTTTAACGTGCTATTTCCTGAGTAGAGGGACTTAAACTTTGGTGTGTGCTTGAGCTTAGAGGAGGTGAGTGCAATAAGCAGTAGCCTGTCTACAAAACAGTAGCTAGTTTAGTGGCTAATGTGTGTATGGTCAGGGTAGTTACACCTTTGTAATAAATGGGAGGATTTCACTGGGGAAGGAGTGTTTAGCTTAATTCTTACCATACAGGTGCAGCTTCCAAAAATGTAACACACTGATTTTAGAAGCAAAGTTAAGAGAGCGGGTTTTTCTGCTAACCCATTCGTACAACCTTCAGTTTCAAAGCTGTTTCATTCTCTCCATTTTTTTTACCTGTAGATAGAATGGATGATACCCACCTTTTTAATAAACTTTGGATTTGATAGGTGAGGAGAAAAAAAACCCAAACAGATGTCAAAACTTGACTGTCATTTCTGTTTATCCCCAGGTATGCTTTAACGTATGGAGGAGTCAGGTTTTGTCACTGCTCACAACTTTCTCTACATTCTTTGAAATAAATTTGTTCCCTGACCAGCAAAAAACCAGTAGTCACGTTGCAAATACTACAGGGTAGTAAGTGGTAGAAAGCAGAAAGTTAAAATACTGGTACAAAACTGAGTCCCACAGACTGAAAGCTAATGGAATAGCAGTTGAGGTGGTTGTGCCTCTAAGCAAAAGCATCTCACTTGTTACTAGAGGTTTCTAAAGAGGGGGAGTTAGAGCTGTTGTTGATTTTTAAATTGGGCAGGCAACTTTATCAGTGTGGTGTAAAACCATATTGTTAATACAGATTCCAAATCTTAGCACACTCAATACTTGCAAAATAGTTTATGCAAAGGATTTGCTGTTTTTTTCTTCATACTTTGAGAATATGTTTTGTTTTGGAAGATGCAAAAACTGAATACTTCTTTTGAATTGAAGTGTACAAAAGCGGTAGATAATTTTATTGAAGTTTTCGAGGTGAGTATATTCTCATTTCTCTTAGTTCAGAAATTCCTTCCTGGAGTGCAAAAGAGGGGGATGCGAGGAGTGGTTAAAATGAGAGCAGGAAGGACTGGATACAGGCAGTGCAGGTTATGTTTGCAGGTAGAGTGTGGTGCAAAATCCAGGATCCAGCTCCTGATCTGAATTACAGCTGTACTGGAATTTGTGTGGGTATGTCATTGTAGAGTATGCCCAAAGTAGGTATCTTTGTGCCTTCAGCATAGATGCAGGGTGGAGTAGCCTGGGAAGTGCTGCCCAGAGAGACAGAAAAGTGGCATTTCTGCTGTTGTTGAACCTGACTTGTGTCTCTAAGTCCCTTTAATGGCTTTTGAAAAATGCAGTTTGCTACATGCTCATCATCTGAATGTACTTCTTGATAATAATATATGAGTAAAACATTTGCTTGACCCTCAGAGCATATTTGATACACAGTTACTTTTTTTGTAGTTGTTAATTTTGTTAATCTGTCAGTGATTGGCACCCGACCTGGATTGTCCATGTCTTTTTGTGTTATTTTAACATTGTGATTATAATAATTCCCAGTAAAAATGCAGGGATTCTTTTTTTTTACGTGGCACAGTTGACAGTGTGGGGCAGAGTTCTTCATTTCTTCTGATTTTTATTTTCTTTAAGCATAAACCAATCTTAAGGACAGTGTGCATTAAATGTATGTGGTACTCATGCACTTAAAGTTGTGTGGTGGTTTTTTGGTTTTGTTTTTGTTAGTGGGGATTTTGTGTTTGTATTCTTTTGTTTTTCCCCAACATTGATTGGTTGCTTAGAAACCCTGAGTTTTGGAAACCTGACTGGGTTTTGGAAAGTCAGCTGTCAAAACAAACAGTCACTAACAGAATGTATGTGGAGCTCTGCCTGCTCTGGGGCATCAGTGAGTGTGAAGTATAAGGATTTGATTAGGACTGAAACTCCATCTGAGTATTTCTATGTGGTTTGATAATAGTATTTGTAATTACAACTTACACAGTTCTCACTATCAGAAAACCTTGAAAAAATGTGTGGCTGGTTGGATTGTAAAAATTTCTTTCTGTTAGAAATATGCAAAGTTACTTTCTTTAGTAAAATAAGTAATTTGTGTTCAAATTGTTATGCCTTAATGAGCAATAAGAACACTGATATCTGTCTTGCCTGTTGATCTGACAGTTCTCTACAGAGAAATCTGAGATGAGACTGTAAGTTTGTTTCAAATATGATTCTGTTGTGTAGTCAAGGGAGTTCTTCTTGAACCTCGTCAGTTTTTGAGAAAGTTTCAAGACACTGTTTTATTTGATGTCTTTTAGTAGTTTACCCAAGTTGGATGGCTCGAAACCATCTCTGGAGCAGTGTTGAAAAACAGAAGATTACTCAGTGAGTTTGACTTACAGCAGGGGCCTATGTGGAGCTTGATTGTGGGGGCCACAGTGGTGCAGTTGTCAATCATTAATAGACCTCCACCAGATTCAGACTTTTGGTGGTGTGGCACTATCCCCTTCTGACTACGGTGAGGGTTTAATCATAGGAGAGACACCTATGAGTTGAAATCTGGTATCTTCTTGATGTCAGGTATTTGAATTTGGTGATAACTGTTCAGATTTGGGAGCTGATAATAATGCGTTACCATGGGATGTATTCCCTGAATCCTTTCTCAATCAAGACACGGTGTCTAGGTGTGCACAGTATGCGTATTTCTTCATTTTGTCATGATGTGACTCCTAACAGCTTTTCCTTTTTACAAACAGGCCGAGGACCTTTGCTGCCAGCCGTGGGACATGTTCTGAAACTGTAAATGCTGGAATTAGAAGTCTCTATTTGACACCTTCTATGAAACCAAAACCTAGTTTGTCCATTGAGAGGTATGGCTTCAGTTTAGGAGTAAGAGTGCACACTGCAAGCCGTATTTTGACTGCTTACAGTTATGTTCATACCTTGGAGATTTCCATGCCAGATGTTCTGAGTTGAAAATAAAAGATTTGCTTTTCTACTTTGTGATCGTACGTTGACCTAATGTTTTCAAGCATGGTTTTCCCTTGCCTCCTTTTCTAAGTTCATGTGAAGTATGTAGATTTTCCAAGTCATATAAAGCCTTCAGCAATACCTTTGCAAATCATGGGCTGTGTTGTTCCTTGAGAATAAAAATTATTATTGTATTACTTCAGTAAAAGCCAGTTTTGAATTAAACTTTGGATGTTTCTCTTGATACTTTTTGCTTTGCATAGAGAGGTTTAGGATGGTGGAGTGGGGTGAGGGGGTAGGAATAAAGTAGTTGTTGCATATTTGCTGCAAGGTAAATGTTTCCATTCCTGTTTGACAGTGAAAAGGCACTTTCAATGTAATCTTGAGTTGTTTTCTTTTGGAATATTAGTTACATTTCTACAAAAAAAACCCTAGGAATACATTACATTCAAGATTAATTTATGTTCTTTGTTTTAGCTTCCTGTGTAGTCATTTCTCTGTTTTCCATTGGATGGCCAGTTCAGTCCCTTACGCTGTTAGTTTGGTGTGAGAGACAAGAGAAAAAAGAAAATTAAAATCCTTTAAGTTCCTTCAAAGAGAAAATAATATGGTTGTAAAAACTACTGTTGAGAATTCTGGATCAAGCATATTATTTTAGCTAACTTGCAGCTTTTTAAGGGGTCATTTCTAAATCCTCTCTAGAATAAATGCCGTGTTTACATTGTTTCACATAATAAATGTGCAAGTTTTGGCACATTTGCCTCTGTATTAGTGCAACTACAATTCCGAGTTTTAATACAAACCTTGGACTATTGGTGTTATTATCATTCTATGCTTGAAAGCTATGTGCCTCTGAAATAATGTATTATAAATCAGTAAGTGTTGTAAATGACACAGTAGTAAATGGGCAAGAGACACAGCTGAGGTGTTGACTTTCATAGCAGCTTGTATTTTCAGTCATTTTGGTGTTACCATACTCTCATGCTTCAAAAAGTTAAGAGTATAAAATGCATTTTTTAAACTGTGTGCAGTTACTACTCAAAGGGTATGAGGTTTCTGTCTGTTAATACAAAAGTCATGGTGGCTTATCTCCAGGTTATGTTGCTGTTTGTACTCAGGCTGGCACCTGCATTTCAGGCAGCCTTACAGATGCCCCAAAACATTAATGTTCTCAAGATGCCACTCAGCTCTTACTTTGAAGTTTGCGTCTTTCTGTTGATACAAATAAAAACTCTGTGAGACCCTTGCACACACATAGTCTGAAGATTTTGATGAGGAAGAGCATAATGTCTCTGACAAATGTCACCACACATTTCTGTACTGCTGCATCCTGAGACCTGGCTCCATGGTCAGGAGGAGTGTGAGTATACACAGTTCTGGCAAATGGTGGTGGATATGGTGTTAAAATCATGGCACAAGCAGTGAGAAACTGAAGCTGAATGAGGCAGTTTCATGTCAGACTGGGTTAAAGGTAATAAAGTTTAATTAAAATGCAAACCCATAACTTTTCATGTAATTGTGCTGTGCCACTTGAATGGCTTGTGGTGAATTGTTTTATGCAAACGTAAATACATACCAGAGAGACAAATCAAAACCCAAAGTCTGCAAATTAACTCTTGAAGTGAGTTTTGATTTGTGTATTTACAAGAATGCTAGTTTCCATCTCTCTTGTTTTGCTCTGTTTTGAAATTAAAATTCTTTGCCACTGCCATTTCATTGCTTGCAGGCAAGTCTAATGGTATTTCTCTTTCTTTGTTTTCCAGCATGCCATCAGAAATGCTGTTGAAGATATTTTCCTACTTGGATGCTGTGTCCCTGTTGTCTGTTGGTTGTGTGAATAAGCACTTCTATCATCTGGCCAATGACAAGTAAGGAAAAGGGAAGCATAAGTGCTAGTCTTAATCGTGCAGCAGTTGAGTTTACCTGAGTTATGAGTCTTCTAATTTAGTTTCCCTGATGTCAGAGCACTGATGCGTGTACCTACGGGCAATTACTCTGCTGAAAATGTACTGCATAACTCACAGTACAATGCGTTGTATGGCATTCTAGCTGTGCAAGCCCTGTTAAGTTTAATGGGAGTTATGAGGCGAAAACTAAATGCAGTGTTTTGAAATGTTGCTATTAACATTTATTTTGTCGTAAAATTTGCATGTATTTGTTTGTATTCACATGCACCTGCGCAGGCTTTTTGGTTCAGGCAATCCTTAGTGGTGTGTAGCCAGCAGCTTTGTGGGATTGTCATAGCTTTCATAATTTTGAAGTCCTACTTACTTAGCTCTTCTATCAGGTTTTTGCAGCAGGTTTGGTTTAGTCAAGTGATTCACTACTGGATTTTATCTGTTGCTCTTTCTGTCAAATTTTGGTGACTTCTAAATGAAAATGAAAGGGGTGAAGATAAGTACCGACACGTTTTTTTGTAAGTGATTGCTTATACAGAATTCACAAATTACTCCTATCAGTATCATGATAATTTTGTGAGAAGTTCAAGAGGAGAGAGCCTGGTTGATATGCAAAAACTGGGATATCTGGTTATCCTTTTTTAATAGGTTTCTGCTGCATTAGTGTTGATTAAATTAGAAAAATGTCTTCCTATATAGGAAGTTTCTGCATCTGGTATTCATCTATTTCTCACTTAGTTGCCAAACATTGGCATCGACACCTTTAGAACTGATGAATGTAAAGGGAAGGCCAAAATCCAGATTTATTTTTTTTTTGAGGCTGTCGGCAGGTGCATGTAGATAAAAATTGCGTAGTTGACGCAAGTTATATGTCTTGATACGCATTTTACACTTCAGGATAGTAAGGTAGGATAAAATCAGTGTTGCTGTTCAAGGGAAGCTGATTCATCTGTCCCCATCTCACAATATCTGTTTCCATTTTCTAATCTCGGAGATTACTGTATATGCACAAATGGGATTTGAGGAAGAGGTACTTTCCCTTATCTAGGAAACTGACTGGTTCAGTGGGATCACATCACTTCTTCCTGATGGATTTCCATGGACCTTCTTGAGGCCCTGAATCTTGTGGTGAATTAACAGAAGTTTTAATTGAAGTCCCTGCATATCTCTGTGGCAAATCTGATCTTGGTTTTTAGGCAGAGTATCTTTTTGAGGATATTTCTGCTGTCCTGCATGTACAGGATGCTGTCCTTGATGCAACAGAACTATCAGTCTTTCATTGTGATCTGTCTGTGCTGCCTAATGTAAGGCTTTGTCTTTGGGCTCTTCAAATATTATTTGATAGTTCCTTGGCACTGATGTCTTCAGTGTAACTGTTGAAGGCATGGAAATGTTTCTGACCCACCTTTCTGCACCCCTCTTGCCGCAGCATGTGGTATTACTCCAGCCTTCTGTCATGCAGCGTGGGAAGATGGCACAGATGGTCTGTCTCAAAGCCTGAGGGTTTTGATCACCAGCAGAAAATGCTTGTCTAAGAGGAATTGAGAAGCCAGAGCACCAGGGAAGATCTTTTTGCCTTGCTCAGATCTTTTTGCCATTATGGTCAAGTGATGACTGACATTTGTGTGTGTCTCATTCTAGCATTTGAGCTAGCAGTAATAGGTTGTGTTGGCTTGTAACAACATCCGATAAGAGGCCTTGAGATAGCTATTATACTCAACAATTTGAGGCGAAAGTGGCACGTATTCTGCTGTGAAAGAGGCAAATTTGTACGTCCCTGTTGGATGCATTTTTGATTTGTCTGCCCTGAATTCTTGAGAAGTTGAGGATGAAGGAGCAGTGATACCTTCCTAAACAGCTGTGATTCCAAGTTCCCTTTTTGTTTCTCATCTGCCTCCCTGCCCTGACTGAATTTTTGAGCTTCCTGAACTGATGTCTCATCTGCTTGCGCAATGCTGTTTTGGGAAAGAAAGAAGCAATATGTAATTGAGAGTGAGTGGAAGGGTGGTAGGTATTGGTGACACATCTGTCTTAATTCAGCTGACATTGCCTGAGAGTGTACCTTCAAAATGCAGGAAATGCCTACCACTAATCCTTGTCTTCTCAGCATCATGCAGCCGGATTCTGAATATCTCTTCCTATAAAAGAAAGGATGTCTGTCTTGGGAAATGGTTTGTAGTTAACAGAGGAGGCTTATAGGGGGATATCTTATTGGGCTTTTTAGGCTGAATAAGACCAGTTGGATAATGCACAGCTCAGTCTCCCCTGATGATGGTGCATCAAGGACATCTCCCCCCTGTTTTCATCATCCCACAATTCTTAGTTGCTTTGGAGTTAAATAAGAATTTCCTCCCTCCATCAGAAACATTTTATATTATCTCATATCTCGGTTGTCTTCTTTTATGGTCTCAAAATTGAAATATCTTAAATCTTTATTTTACTTATGAGATTGGTCTTCATGTTGACCTCCCCCTGGCCCTGATTTTGTTGAACAGAAAGTTGGAAACTCATGTTGACTCTGAACTCCCCTTTACCAGTCATAGAGGCTTATGAGTCCATGTGTATTAAACAACTTTGACTCAAAAAATGGCAGTGGGAGATTGTACATAGATCTGCAGAGCAGCAGGCTGGAAGGTTTTTGCAAAATTCCTGAGTATATTTGCATTGATAACAAAGAGCGTGGCTCTTGGCATGTGGGGAGTTACTCTCAGCAGCTGATGAAACGAGAACGGTTTTCACGGGTAGGAGGCAGTGTGGGATGGATTCAGCCCTTGAATGCTTTAATGCTTTAAGGAGGGGAAAAATGCATTACAAAGCATGTTTGGGTAAGCTTGCCTGGGGATAAGTGAGGGCTGGTAAAGGTAATCTTTCTGATAAGTGGTACAGAATTTCTCTTGAGCATTTGGTTCTGTTGCTATTAATTTTCTTTAGTGCAGTTATGTAGACTGTGTGGCTAGCACTTTAAAATCAGAAAACTTATTGGAAAGCTTTTTTCACAGATAGTTGTTTGAATTCTTGCAGCTTCTTGTGCTCAATATTTCCTAAACCGTCCTAGAGATAGTGTGGTTTGAGGGAAGTGGAAGTGTGACCTCATGTATTTCCTGACGGGAAAGAGATGAACCCTTCATTCCTGTTGCATGTTTCTTTGAACTCTTCAGAAAGACATCTCTTCTCTGAGCTTTTCAAAAGAGAGTGCAGAAAGGATTGAGATGACAGTGTTACCACTATCAAACATAGGTGATTCTAATTGTCCTCCTCCACTCCACTTTCAGCTGGATCTGAGTGAGAGCTCCAGATTGTCTTTGTAGAGCAAGAGATATTAAAACACTTTTTCCACTAGCTGATTTTGTGTAAAGAGGATGCGTCATTGTTTTGGGGTGGAATTTTCAAAAGTAACTGCTTAATCTTAATCAGTTTTTGCTTAAGTCGCCGAGTATGGCTGTGTTGTCTCTCATCTTCATCCTGGATCTACATGTTCAGGAAGACAGACAAGACGTACCTTTCCTTTGTTTTCTTATGATAGCTTTCTCTCACATATCTACTGTTTTGTTGTTTTTAAAAAACCTGCTTCAGTGAGTATGAAGGAAGTTCCCCCATAACAGGGAAGAAGGCTTTTTAAAAACCACATTCTCTAATGTGCTATTGAAAGGCATAAAACAATGGGAAGTTTCCAGTATCTGATGATTGTACTTTCTAGAGCACTCGTCAAATGTTTTCTGTATATGTAGTTGAAATGTTTATCAGTCTCACTGGAATCTTGTAAGAATTAGCTGAATAACTTAATAACTTTTTTTTTTTTCTGTGATAGAGCAGAAAGTTGTAAGTGGGTTTCATTTCATGCAGAACAAGAAATTTATTCAGAGATTCCATATTCTTTGAGATAACCTAGGAGAAATGCTGACATCTAGCATCTTTCAGTTCCCGAGTCTTCATGTCTGCACCAGGGAAACTTGCCTTTTACGAGCTGTTGGAAGGCCAAAATGGGGAAAAGCGTACAGCTGTGCCTTTGCATTTTCTTGACAAGTACCTAGGAGGCTACAGTTTCTGGTCTTCTATAAAATTAGATTTAGATCAAACTGATTTTGCTGATAATCTAGGACTATCTATTTTTCTGCTAACATTATGCTTGGGGTAGTTGAGACATGCGTATAAGAATAATTAAAGTATTATTCTTGAAATTTATGTGGTTTTCTTCTTTATTCTGTTTTTATTTTCAGTGGACTCTGGCTGAAAATCTATTCCAGTTGTTTCCAACCAAAAAGGACAATTTGGAAAATGAATTCTGAACAAACAGAAACTGCTCCCTTGGGCTGTGCTGCTCTACATGATAGAAAACCTGGGCACTGGAAGAAAGAATACATCTTCAAACAAATAGCTGCTGTCAAAACTAGAGTAATGCGACTTGTTAAACCTGTAGATCCTTGTACAGGTCTTCCATATAAAAACAAAGAAGCTATGAAGTAAGCAATGCCTTGTCACAGAAGATGATTACTTGAGAATAATGCACAGAATATTAATGGCTTTGGTAATGCTGGGGAGGTATAGAAATAGAGCTATATATGTGTATCATAATGGGAAGATATGATGATAGCCTATAAATGACCTAACCTGAGACACATAAGTAGCAGTAGAAATGTTGGAATTTCTGTATATTTCCAAATATACTGTTGGAAGCATAGTTTAATTTTTGTCACTTTGAGAATCTTTTTTTTTAAAACACCCCTCTCTTTTCCTAAATAACAGAGCTTCTGGCCTGAGTTGGATAATTGTTCTAAAGGACAAAAATGGAAAGGAACATGTAATGGAGAAGGCAAAGCTATCATTTAAAGACACATCTGTTACTATACTTTGGTATAGTACAAATTTGCCATGCTTGGACATCCTGTCAACCCTAAAACTATTTGGAGTTACACCATTGCTTCCTGACCAAGGCAGAACTCCCAGTAAGAGTGGGTGAGTTTTAACATTGGATTTTGGAGGGGTTTTTAGTGTAACTGGTCGATAATGTGATTTCACAGATATCAGAATGTTTCTTAGAATGTTAAGATGATAAGGAGATAGTGCAGGGACTTTGGGAAAGTCCTGTATTTATACCAGCCTGATTGACTTAAACATGGCAAGGGTTGAGGTCCCATCCCCGCAGTTCTGGGTAATGTGATGATGTTCCTGTCAGTTGCTGTCTTCCTAGCAGTGTGTAGTGGTAGGTGATACTACTGTGGTACTATTGGGAAATCTAGGAATGGGTTTGTATATAATAAGAGCCTAAGCCTGCAAAGGGTTTTAGAAACGGTTATTTCTCCGTGCTGAGTGGGTAATGCAGACTCCACTTTCTGCTCTTTTTTTATGCATCATTAGCCAATAAAAATGCCTGTGAAGTATGAACTGAAGTTAAAGGGTGTTATGGAGCTAAAGCACTTTAATTACAGGCAAAATCTAGAAATAATTTTCTAAAAAAGGAAAGATTCCTCTAAGAGAAGCTTTTATTTTATTATATATACAGTTTGATCCTTTCCTTGGAGTTTTGCTTCTGTGGAGAAAGAATTTACCTTTTTAGTAGCTTGCTTCACATGTCAAAAGTTCAGTAATTCCATCTAGTACCGATGTAGTATTAAAAACAATTTATAAATTAATTCTGTGTCTATTTTGAAATATTGGGCAAGCATCTAAGTTTTTCTTCTTTTTTTAATTAATATGCCATCCTGTGGCTGCTTTTGTTCCTTTTCTTGTTAGGTGTTGAGATCTTGTTAGTATGCTGTAGTTGTTCAGAAGTTTCTAGCTGTTCATGCTGAATGGTTCCAAAACCGTTTTCATCATGTGTAGTTGGTCAGATTTTAGTGTTAAAAATGAAATTGGGCAGAACTTAAGGAGGCATAGTCTTACTGCTACATTCTGTATGTTCTTTTCCAAGACCTCGAAGACGTTCCTTAATTGCTGAATACCATCTTGCTAACCTGACTGAAAGCAGCATACGAGTTGGTGCTGATAAGCTTGTCCAGCTCTTCAGTCTGAATCCAGGACTCTTAGTAGGACTTTGGAAGGTGAGATAACATTTTGTTTCAATTGATTATTATGACCTGAAGAAACAGGTTCCTTTGCTGTGTAATTTGGGATTTTAAGAGTTTTTTGGGTTTTTGATTGGGTTTTTTTTTACCTTCCTTTTTTTCTTTGGATTTTGAAAGAGGCTGTCTAAGCTAACAAGCAGAAAATACAGGTAGGGATACCTAGTTGATGATTTATTGTATTCTAAAGAGCTGTCGCAGCAGTATCTGTACTACAAAAAAACCCCAACCTCTAAGTAAAAGAACAGTTATGTATCACAGTATATTAGATACTGTACTGATCTTATTCCTGTATTCAATTGTATTTGTTTTACAGTCTTCACATGCCAGTTAGATATCCGAAAGACATTTTAAATAGAACGGTTTGAGATGTGCTTCTTCCCCTGACTCATGCCTTACCTTGTTTCCGTCACTCACAGTGATGAATTCCCACAAGGCAACTTTTCTCATTCTTTCCTTTAATCTGTATCAGCAGGTAGTCATATCCTGCTCCAGCAGTGAGAACGCTGTAAACCGTGACATTTTGGGGATACTCAATTCTTGGTATTAAGTGTCTAAGTTAAGGAGTTAGTTTTTGTAGGCTGTGTGTAGAGATGAATGTCTTTAGAGAGCAGTACAGAACATCTGAAGTGGGCATCTACTCCAAAGGAATCTGTGTCTTTGAGTTGAACACACTGGGACCCAGGTGTCTACCTGAAGTTGCACATGATTAGGTGCTATGGAAGCCTGTATCACATGTTTTGCTCTTATACTGAATTCAGAGGTGGCAGCCCTTTCTTCCTTCCCCAGCGATGTTAATGACGTGGACTTAAATTATTTGGCACTGGCAAGGAACTTCCCTCAGGAAGCCTGTGATCAGTTGCTCTAAGCTGTGCCTCATTTCCATCTGGAAGCTCTTGCTACCTCAAATGTGCACAATCACCAGAGGAATTTAAAACCTATTTGTTTCATTCTTACTTAAAGGTGTCCATTTCCTGAAAAACTTGAGACTGCCTGACCCGCATGAGCCTATTGCAGGTTGTCTCAATCTATGAAAAGCTCCAATAAGTGAACAGCCGTTTCTTTTGTATCTTCGAAGTTCAGTAGATTGGTGTCCCTGTGGTGTTGTCCCTATGGTCTTGTGAGCATTTTACTCCTTCCCGTGCTTGGAAAGACAGCTCCTTCAGCACTTGGAAATGGGTCATCATAACTAAGTTCCACAAAGTTCTTAAGAGGCGAGTGCCTCACTCCAGTATATTTTTCCTGCATACATTTCTGAACAACTGTTCTTATTCTCTACATGGCCAGAGTAACATTAGGCGGTTAAATGTACATGGCTGTAATAATCATAAATGCTACACATCTTTGATTTTTACACATAGCTTAGCTGCATGACAGATACTGTTGATGCTAGTAGTTCTGGCAACCAAGAACAGGTTATGTGGGCCTTCTGGTATCTGGATAGAGAAAGACTGAGACACCCTATGTATTGATAAATCTTTGTTACTATATCTGTTATAGCTGTAATTTTGCACTACAAAAGTCCAGGAGTAGCTAAAAAAAAAACAAGTTGAAGTAGGGGATGTTATTTTCTGTTTGATAATCCAGAGAGATGAAAACAACAGTTATCCACTTTTCAGAGCAGTAATAGACTGCTGACAGCGAATAATTTTGCTACTGACTTGCATGTTTGCAAATGTAGGACTTAAAATGCATTTTTCTTAAAAAAAAAAAAGCTGAAATCCTAGCATTCTGTTCTTCAAGTAAATAGATACCTTTGGCTCTGTTTGGTTCTCTCATTGAGCTCTCTTTGAGCTATATAGGGCTATAGAAGGTATGTTTTATCATTTTCCCAGGTGTGCATAATCTGGTGAAGACATCTGGGGTTTTACTTTGAATTTCAGTACTTCTATTGAATAGCTCTGTATTCCTCACTGATGTTAGCCCTCTTTGCAAATAGTTCCTTACATGTGCAAATAAGCTTGATGCTTAGGTATTTAGTAGCTGGAAGTAAGGCCAGTTTGACTCAAGTATCGGGTTTAAAGTGGTAAGTAGAAGCTAGAGAAAAAAAATTCGTGGATTGCTGCTGATAACTTTTGCCCTGGCATAGCTACTTTCCCACCCTTTCCTCGCAATATAGAAATGCTTGATCTTTGACATATATTCTGTACTCTTGCAAAAAGACAGTAGCAGTTACAGGAGTCCAAGTGTTCAAGCAAGCCATTATTAACATTATTACAGGCAGAGTAATAAGCAGCAGCATTTATCTATGAATTTTAATGCTCAGGAAGACCTTGTGGAAAAAAAGTATTTTCAGATGAAAAGACATCTACTTTAATTAACTTTTCAGGAGAAAAATGAAATTGCTTTTGTTATGGCGAGTCTTCATTATCATCAACTTTTTGAGAGAAGCACTTTGGGTTCTGCTACTGTGTAAGTTTTGGTTTCTCCTTTGTGGGTAATAAAGATAACCTTTTGAATAAAACTCTGAGTTTTACAGTTAAATTGGCTGCTGTTAAGAGGTTTATATTTAGGCAGTAATTATTCTTGTTTAATATAAGCAACGGTTATGGTAACTATATACACAAAGCCGTAGAATTGTTTTTGTACTAAAATGTTGCCATTGTTACACTATTAAAGAGATAATTTAGTCACAGGAGTGTACTAGTACTTGCTGTATTGAAAAAGTTAGAAATACTCTCTCCCTTTTCACAAACAGATTTTTAAATTTTTTCTTCCTAACTGAAAGACCTAGAGAAGAGGGAGACATTTTAGGAATTAGGAAAATAATCTTTAGCTGTGTAAGAGGGGAGAAATTCTGGTAAACTGCTAAGGTGCCTGCATTTATCTTCCAGTCTTATTGGAAAACTAACTGGATTTCCTCTGAAGTATTTGTGTATATGAGTATATTGCAGTGTATAATATAATACAATACCTATTTGTGCACTGTAAACTCTTTGAAAATATGGCCTTTTTTAGCTTTTGAGGATGATTTTGGGGATTTATTTTCCCCTCAGCCCACCCTTTCAGCTTTCTGCTCAGATATTGTTGTATCTACTGGTAGTCTTATGTGCCCGCTATAACTTAGTATGGCTTATTATTATCGCTTATTATTACCAAATAGAATCCTACATAGGGGTGTCTCAGTTGGCTCTGAGATTTGGATTCTTCTAGTAATTGGTGTGCAGTAGTTTCTCTTTTAGGTTAGGCACAGACAAAATTATCCAATGACTGCTAGTTGGCTTTCAGATTTGTAGTTAAGCTGATGCTTTTTTTTTTTTTTTTTCCATAAACAAGTCCATATTTTGGAGTTTAACAGAAGCACCTTTTAAAGTTGACTGCCATATTTTCCACCTTTGCCTAGGCTGGACAGATGATTAGAAGTATTAGACTCTGCATTAGACAGCTTTAAAAAAGTATGATGAACAAGAGATATCTGATTTTCAAAAGCATTAATAAAGAAGAGAAGTTGTATCTTCTAATAATTTTTTCTCCTCTTATAACCTCTCCTAAAATGGTAGTCTCAGTGTAGGACTGTTTACTTTATTTCTTTCTAGTAAGTCATTCCCTCTTGCTTAACTCTATTACTATTATTTTTTTAAAGTCAATATGCCCTCCCACCTAAGAAGCCTGTTTTGGATGATGTAGACCCAGAATATGGACTGCATGACTACAATCTACATCTTGATATGCACGGTAGAAGCTGCACCTACCTGTGTGGGACATTCAAGAGTCTCTTCTGCAGAAAAGGTAGAGTTGACAGAACAGTAATGTCTATTTTAAAAATGATCCCTGCTATTATGTTTTCTCTCTTATATCCAATATTTCTGCTTTAAGGGGAGAAACTGAAATGAATTTTTAGGAGTAAGCTGTCTTTTTGTTCGCTGTGTGATTTCTTTCCATCTGCATGGTGCATTGCGTGGTGTCATAAGCTTGCTCTGTGTGAAGTCTGCCTGCTATTACATTGACATCGTGTCAGGCCTGAAGTGGAAGTTCTGCAGATTGTCAGGATATTTTCCTTTGGTTCAGTGCTGCGTTAATAACTCAGTGGCACAGCTTTTGCTGCAGGTTCATGTTCCTTCCACTTGTATACTGTAAGGGGGAGTGAATTCGTCCTCGTACATTTTGGAGACCTATTTCTGTAGAATTCTTCTCAAATATACTTTAAGTGCATTGCCAGATTAAATATTTAAATGTGTTTGTAGAAGATACTGTGAACTTCAAGAGTTACAGCTTTTATTTAGGTCAACTTAAGATTGCCTATTCTGACATCCTTTCATTGTGCAATAAACAATTTCAGAGGTTGTTTTTAACTGTACTGCTTTTTTTCAGTTCTTGGCTTTTTTAAAATGAGACATGGTTGCTATACTTGTTGGTCATACAGCTCAACTTAATAATTCTGCTAGGGTTTTGCAAAATATATGGGTGATCACTCTTTGACTTAACTTCAACACAACCCTGCCTACAGCTCCACAGCTGTCTTTTTGTCAGCAGAGACAGAGTAAGATATTGAACTAAAAATTAAGCACTGTAAATTAATTTTTGTTCTTAGTATTTTTCTGATAACAGTACTAATGATTGTTGATTTCAGAAAATACTTTTTTGATGAGGACAGCAGAGGGCACTGTTACCAGGCTTGAGTGCTTTTACAGTGTTAGAACAAATTTCCAAATGCCTTTTAAAAAAAAATTTGTATTTGATGACTCCAAGAACTGTTATTTAGACTGTAGCATTGTGCACAGTGTGGAGTGTTGTAGTCCCTTGAATTTTAAACATACGTGTTTTCAGATTCACGAAAAGTTCCAAGCTTGAAATAAAGGAATAGTTACAAGGGTAGAACTGCAGTGAAATTCTATCCATGTAGCAATAGAAATGTTTCCCGAGGTGTTCAATACAGGAGTCCTCTTCATACCCTCAAAAAAATTTTCTTCTGTGCATTGGCCACAGGTCTGAGTTTTTGTTTTTGAGTTTGGTTTTGGGTTTTTTTAGGTGAATGTCATGTTTTGTTTTCTAAAATGAAAATTTTATGCTTCTGGCAATACATCTGTACAAGAGAAAGCAGGATGTGGCACACTTTTCTTTGTTGGTATTGCTTTTTTGCTGCTTAGAAGCTACTTCTGTTAAAGATTAAACTGATGTCTATGCAAATCGTAGCAAATGTCCAGGAGCTACAGCTGTGATGCCATCTCACTTTGATAGTTAGAGAATCTGTTTTATGAATCTGTTTTCTGTACTGTTTTGGTTTTGTGTCCTTTAGCTGTGTGACAGCCGCTAGATTCTGCTCTTGCAGGACATCGGCCAGCTGAAGCCATGGTTCTGCAGGCAATAAGCTCATTTTTTATCTAGTCCCTGCCATGTACTTGCACAATAATTCCTTTTGGAAAATGCTTGATTTCCTCCATTATTTGTGTTCAGAAGTGATGTAGTGGGGCAGCTTATGGGTGGCTGCAATCACATTTCTTCACAGTAATTTGTTGTTCGCTTTGCTCTTTCTGGTAAACATGGTGTTTCTGAATGTGGCCAACAGTGTAGCTCTGTCCAAGCTGGTTGTGTGGGATGGTTTGCACTTTGCTTTTCGGCTCCCTTCTAATGATGCTCTTTGTCCCGTTCTCTGGAAGGGCTCTGAAACATGGAGGTCTCTGACAAATTGAGAACTCTTGCCGTTTCTTAAAATTCTCTACCCAATCCTGATTTATTTTAAATAATGGATGTGACATGCCAATGGCGGTTTCCACAACCTGAGACACAGTTCATTTGTCAGCCACTGTACTGGGGGTTACTTATCAATTTGTTTCCATTAGAAAGGTGTAGACACACCTAGGTAGCCAGAGAGTGCCCATTTGTTGTTCTCCAGAATAACTGATTCATTTATTCACATTTAGTTTTATAGTTGTCTGATTTTTGTTAATGTTAATTAATGTTGTGCTTCATTTTCATAATGAACTATTAGAGAGCAGTGTAGGGGAAA